AGTTTACTACAACTAACAAACAAGCTATTACAATTAAACTCATTCTACAAGAAACATTTGATTTAACAAATATAGTTCAAACTAAACAAATAGCAAACAAACAAGTTTTTTATATAATTAATAATGTTATTATTCCTATTATTGAATATTGTATATATAATATATTACTTTCTTAACATATATATAACAAAATTTTATCCAAATATCTTATTACTGCCAAATACAAATCTAAACTTGTACTAACTACTCCAACTAGCACTATGCTGAACTATAATATATATAATATCAAAAACATATAGAATATATAGTTACAACATCATATTACCAACTTCTTAATTTGACTAAACACTACAGATTTACTTGAAACTAGTACATATATCTGATTACAACAATTACAAAATAACTTGTAGTTTACTACTAATATTTTACAACATTCACATCTACTAATAAATAGCCTAAATAAAAATACAATATATCAAATAATACTACTACTATAATATTTACAATTTACCATCTTTGCATACACAATACTATTACATATACTATAATACCTATATACACTAATTGAAAACATTCTTAAAACATATAAAACTATAACAACTTCAAAAAACAATTATAAATTAAACATATCCTTTGTCTTAAACAACTAATCTCATCTGATAACTCTACACTTTTAGATTAGAAACACATTTTACTAAGACTTAAACAAATTTCTACAGGATGCAAACCAAAATGATTTATAATTTTAGAAGACAAAACTATTACACATTCTCTTACTAGAAAACTTAACTCTAATCTGAGTTTTTACAAACTAACTCTTTATTTTTCACAACTGAATATTATAATTCAAAATCAAAACCTTGGCTTATTACTGTTAATTATAATAGTGAACAACTAATAATAGAAAAGGCATAAAATATAACCAAAACAACAACACTATATCCATTATACACTAGACAATCAAAGCAAATGCACCCAACACAAACCTCTATCTACTCTTATCAGTTAATTGTATATTATGTACAGGATACTTATACAACTCTAACAGAATACTAAACCACTATATATTTGACATTTCTGCTACTTTTTCTACAAAAATTTAGGAAGGAAACAACAAAATTCTACAAACAAACTTAAGCTTAATGCAAATTATACAGATCTTGTATACTAAATTGCATTATGTAACTTTACTAGAATTCCTACACTTCTATTTATTATCTTATCACAAGATTCAATCTTTTTCATTTTTTATACCAATTTATCTGTTACCAATATTACTACTAATAGATGTTCAATAAATATTGAATGGATACAAATACATAATAATAATATTATTAAAACTTACTTTTCTTGAATTAAATTCAGGCTATTATTATACAAAACTTAGCTAGTAGCAATTTTATTAGCTATATGTATATGCCTTTGGAATAGCAATATCCAAATCTATGCTGACTCACAATCTGTAATTTTTAAATTCAACAAAATTACTAACAACATGATATTACAACATAAACAATATTCTTATAATTATTGGCCAATATGGCATACAATTATTAATTTAGTTAGATTATACAAATATAACATCACACTTCACAAAGTATCAGCTTATAAAGACAACATATTCAATAATGAAGCAGATAAACTCATATCAAACCACAACTCAACAAACTTTTTAAATATATGATACAACAACATCTACAATACTTCATATACTATACAATATAGCCAATATACTATTAAACAACCTACCCAATAAGCAATTAAAAATATTTGCAATGCATACATAATAGCTATATGGTTATCTCAAAATTAGATGAACAAAATTATTACTCTATCTTCACAAATTAACCAGGAAGCAACCTGGTTATACCTAAATAATAATATTAACAGAACTAGCTTATATTTGAACTTTACACTTAGCAATAGTAAATTCTTTAAAATTAAACTACAACTTAGCATACTACTTACTCTTTTCTATCTTTACAACTTATACTCAGAAGCAATAACTAGCAATAGCTGTATCACATGTCATATACCAGAACATTCACTACATTGGATTCTCTGTTCAAACTCTATACTCCTTACTAATTTCATTCAAGAAACAATAACAGAAACAATTACTTATATAACTGATATTACTAGCACTCAAATTAATGAACTACAAGAAATAATTTCACAACACAACAACCTTTCTTTTAGTAATATAATTTTACAACAAACTAACTTTTATACAACATTATAAAAATATATGCCTATTAGCCTTATTTCATCAATTAGACTATTTACTTAATTACAAACAGAAGCAAAAATATCATTACAAAACTTCTATATAAGCTGTTTCAAAAAGTTTATAAACAAATATAGAAACAATATTGCACAAAACTGATACAATGGAAAAATAATAACATTCTATAGTATATCAAAAATTAATAAAGTAGATCTATACAAACTAATCATAATAATATATACTACATCAACAAACATCAATTACATATTACAACTTGCAATTTATGTAAACTATCAAGCTTAAAACATACTGATCCAAATATTTGTTTATCACTTGGTCATACTCTATATAAAATTAATTTATAGTTTGGCTATTGGATACTTTATAGTTACCCTACAAACAACATTTTATACTATCAAATCTAAGTGAGTTTTAACCACTTTAGTAGGTTTAGGTTGCAGATAAATTAGATAAATAACAGTTAGTTTCTTTCTATAGTTTGAGCTTTACTCTTGTAACAAATTTGTAATTAGAATAGATTTTGTAATTTATATCTATAGAAGTCCTAAAGGCATTTTCAACAAATTAATAAAAATATAAGCAAAATCTTATATTAATTCTAAATATATATATATATAATAAATTCAAGTTAATAATTATATATTTATTTACTCATTCTATATACAAATTAACTCTAGTTATGCTTCTTTAAAGCTAAAATTTTGGCTATTTTTTTAATAATTATTATTGCTTTTAGAATCTTTCTGTTAATATTTTTACTAATTTACAATTAGTTATATCTAAATATCTTTTACATATTTTTCTATTAGCTAAACTCTTATTGACTTTATTAAATCTTACAATATTTAGTTTATCTTTTACAAATTTAAGATAACTTATTTAACAATCTTTTTAATTAATAAATTTATAATCTCCAGATTCTATCATTTCTTATATTTTAAATAATAATTCTACAATTTTTTATTTATTACCTAATTTTCTATTGAAATTCTTATATGTTATTTTATTTAAATTATTTGTCTAGCTTATATAATAACATTCTGAACATTTCAATACTATTTTAACAATAGTCTATTATTATATTTAATATTAATTAAAATGTTATATGACTTTATATTAAAGACAATAAAAAAGTATCAACCTTTATATACAATTTTATTTTCTTATTCTTGAAACTTTTATGTTAAAATCTTATTAGATGAATTATTTGTTTTCTATACCTTGCATAAACATAATATCTCTTATTTCCTCTTCTGCTATTAATGTAATCAAACTAGTTTTCTTTATATTGGCTATTTGCCCTTCTACTTAAACAAACTACTGTTTATTTTTTTAACTTTTTTAATTCTATTATAAACACAAATTTTCTTAATATGTTTACTAATCTTATCTCTAATCTGCATAAAAAAATTTTTACATTTGACAATTTTCAATTACATAATTTTTATATATATTTTTTCTTATTTCTATTCTACCTAATTTAGTTCATGTTAAACTTATTTTTAATATCCATCGTATTTCAATTTCTTACTGTATAGTTACCTTTCTTTTTATTCAACTCTTTCTTTATTTAAACTAACAAATCTTACTGTATATTATGTTCTACACAATTTTAAATTTTAACTTCTACTACTTATCTTATAACTTCTCTTTTAGTCTAACTTTATTTACTATATCAATTTTAAAGATGATCATTAAAATTGATCTCTGAACCATCCAATAGATTAAATATTATGCTTCTTTTTCTTATATTATTACTTACACACAAAACTAAGTAAGCTTTAACCACTCTTGTCAGTTTAGATCACAGATTATTTGTCTAAGTTTTTATTCTTCATATATAATTTAAAAACAAGCTTTTCTTTGTAAAAACGTCAATTGAATTTCAATATAGTTAAAGACATAACCTCACTATTAACATTTAAAAAAAAATTAAATAATTGATTATTAGGATTAATGTAGTATAAAATAATATAAGAAAAGAACAAAAATTTGAAAATTCTAAAAAAAAAGAATAAATATAAAAGACAAGTAATTGATCAACAATTAGTTAAATAAATAATTCTGTTTAAATAACCAATTAATAAAAAATTATCTGTTCAAATTACTAGTAACATCATTATAAATAAGAAAATGAAAAATACAGAAAAAATCGAAAACATGTAATGTCAATCTTATCGAAAAAATGTTCTGTAGATGAAATATCACGTCGGCATTATGGTGTAGGAGAAATGTGTTTGCGGGTAAATAACTTTCGGAGAATTTAGCAACCCTATAAACATATATCAACCATTGTGTTCTATGCAAACTGATGCATTGATGCGTTCTATGTCAACTGGTGCATCCTACGTCAACTGTTACGTCCTACGTTGTTATAGCGTTGCCAACCTAAAAGATTTCGCTGGCCAATCAGATTTCAAGATCAGGTGCTACGCAGAAGAAACGCAAAAAATCAAAACAAACCAAAGAAAAATTGACCAGGTTTAATAAGGCTTTAAATATATTAGCATATACATTGGTGTTTTAAGTTCTTTTTTTTTTAAAAAAAAAAAAGAACATGTAATATATATTACGTTTGAATATTAAAGAGTTTATTTAAATATAATATACAATTAAATCTCACCATAGGAATCTTAGAAACTTTTTTAAAACATGTGCTTATAAAAGGCTGTACTTGTATAAAAGTTTTTTTTATAAATTCATAAGTGAATTTTTATATGGTAATTGTCAAGTCTTTCAATATTTATCATCATTATGCCTCTGCTTTTTCATCTTGAGATTCGGGAATGGGACCAAGGAAAAATGAAACAATTGTACAGAAGATTAATGCACACACAGACGCCCACAAACAAGCATCCAGTCCAACATAATAGTATAATACACCACCCACAAGTAATCCAACCAATCTTCCAATAGCATTTGCCATATAATAAAATCCTACATTCATGGCGACTTTATCTCTATGACAATATGCTAATATGAGAAATGAATGGATTGAAGAATTAATGGCAAAAATAAAAGCAAAAATGAACAACCCAATTATCAATATTATCAATAAAAGTGTGAAATGTGTTTCAAGAGTAATAAATTTTAGGAATAATGCTGTAAATATAGTTATTAATAATAATATAATTGTGAACGGTACTAATAAACGACCACTTTTTACGGGATATATTCCAAGCGGTTTTAGAATCAGCTGAGGAGTGCTGGATTGTATCGTTCCATAAAATATTATCCAACCAGCAAGGAGTGCACCAGTGCCAAGATATGACCTACAATTAAATCATTGCATAAATTACCGATAGTAAATTTAATTTTACATGGAATGGTATATGACATTTCTTACCATCCAACTGGTCCTCTCAGAAATAGAGGCAAAGGTACCTAAATAAAAATTTTAAGGATATATTATTATACAGATAGCACGATAATGAATTTCTGATTACCACTATACACTCAATAAATCGGAATTAAACGGAATTAGTTACCTCAAACCAAAGATCACGTGAACCAAATAAAAACATTCTGGCAAATGATAAAATATTTACATTTCTTCCCTAAATTGAAAGAATAACAGAGTTAGATATAGAAAACACCAATTTTTATGTACATACTAATAATACCTTATCAAAAATTTCTTTAAATGTCAGTTTTTTCTTCGATTTGCTTACAGCCAAATCATAATCAATATAAATCAAAGCGAAAGGAATAATTATTAAATTCATAATCAACAGTATCAGCAATGCAGGAATATAACCTGTATATAGTAATAAAAGAGCACCCCAAAAGAATCCAGCACCTTTTACAGAATTTTTTGCACCTGTTATCCAAGCTACTAATTTGAATAATGAAGATTGATGAAGGCTGTCATCCTTTGTCACTAATTTTGTTACAGATTTGCCAGCTAACTTGACCAAATCTTTCGCTATTCCGCTAAATCCTTGAGCAATGGTGACATATATTATGATTATTAGTGAACTCCACGAACTCCAGTATCCTTGTAGACCGCATAACATTGCTATTCCGATAACCTGAACAAAAAGGCCAGAAACAAGGCAGACTCGAATACCTAGACGTGATCCCATAATACCACCTGTAAGGTTTATAATGACACCAAAAAATTCGTATAATGTAAACATTATAGATATTTGCAATGCCTATATTTTGAATACCATGTAATTTTTTTTCATTAATACTGATAAATAAGAAAACAGGAATGAGCAACATCAATAAAATATTTTTAAATACATTGAAATGTCTATCATATAGTTGCAGCAACACAATCATTCGAAGGCCAGAATCTGTAAGTGTGAAAAATACATATCCAAACGAAATTACATAAAAATTTCTCATCACCGCCACATTGCTACTTTCTTTTTTCAATTCTGAAATATTAGAATTCTCTTTGATGTTTTCATTTTGTGGCAAAGTCGATATTATATTAGTTTCGTAATTAGTTGATTCAAACTGTATTTCTGATTTTTCTGACATTTTGTGAAAATTTTTTCGTAAATTTTAGAGTTGAAGTTTATCATAAAAAATAACAAATTATATATGTGCCGCAGGAAAAAGCCTATAAAATTATCACTTTACAGGTCTTAAATCCTGTCACTACAAAAGTAGCAGAAAATTTGCCTTTAATAGCAAATTAAAACAAACCTCCATTGTGCTACTGTCATTATAATGGTCGAATCCGGTTTTTTTTTGGTGGTACATATGCACTCACACTCATAATCCGATTATCGAGACATTGATTTGAATTTTGGAATTAATAATTAATTTCTGCAATATGGTTGGTTGTCTTGCTTAAAATTATTGTACAACATCGAACAATTAGAAACGAATATGACGTATGTACTCATCATCCGATTTTCGGGACATTAATGGCTATCTGGATTAAAAATTACTGTACAACATCGATAACATGCATGTACGAAATGGTAGTTATTAATTAATAATTACTGAATTGTCCGATTATCGAATCGAAATCAATTTGAATTTTGGAATTAAAAATTAATTTCTACAATGCGGTTGGCTATCTAAATTAAATTTTACTGTACAACGTCGAACAATTAGAAACAAATATGTATAACACGCATGTACGTAGTGTGATAGTTATTATCCGATTACAGGATTATCGATCGACATCAATTTGATTTTGGAATTAATAATTAATTTCTGCAATGCGGTTGGCTATCGAAATTAAAATTTACTGTACAACGCCGAACAATAGAAACAAATATGTATTATAACGATAACATGCATGTAACAGTAGCGCCTATCTAATTAATTTAACCAAAATTAACGAGTGGCTACTTACACAATGTAGCTAATAATAAATTTATTGACCATGCTGAAATCATAAATAGTAAAATTATGTATAATATAACACTGCTAATTTGTGTATCTCCCAGAGAAAGACCTATTAAGATGAAATTCCGAATACGTAAGCTAACAATAGTCCTCAATTTTAATGAAACTCGTTAATGTTAATAAAATCTTCAGACATTATTTATAATGATATTTATGATGCTACTTTTTATTTAATGAATGCGTTAATAACTTTAAACATTCAACAATAAATTCGTAAACAGTCCATCTTTCGTATATAGGATCCATATTTGAGGGAAAAGAATTCAATGATTTAAATAGAAGGAATAAATATGGAATAATTTTACCCAATAAAACACCAATATCGATATAGAATTAAAAATTTAATCGCTGCAATTTGATTGGCTATTTAAATTAAAAATTCACAATTAAAAATAATTCACAAATCATCAATAAAAGGTTGCATTTCATGTGATCTTGTGATTAGAATCGAATGATGCCAAGATGCAAATAATTCATTTTTGATACTTCTGCACCTACTTTTTTGATACATCTAAACATACCCTAAAATTTCTATACTTTTTTACTAACTTTTACTTTAATAACGTGCGATCTTATTGGTTAGTTTTAGGTATGTATCAAAAAAAGTAGGTGTAGGAGTATCAAAAATGTATGTTTTACTCCAAGGTCGTTCGATTCTAATCACTAGATCATAAGATATTACAAATTAAAATAAAAGCTAAAATATTATTGAGCCCACAATTTTCTAATAACGATAATGGAAAATTTCAGAGTTTCTAAATAGCCTACCAATCATAGATTCAATCGGTAATATTTCTATCTATTTTGAAATCTATAAAATTCTCTTAGAATCGAAAAATCGTCTAACTTCCTGTCACTTTTTTGCAAAGCGCAATAATAAAAAATCACGTATCCGATTTTTATGAATTAAATATACGCCTTCTTATACCTATTTTAGGTAAATATATTTCACTGTAAACAAATGGTAAAAATCGTAAAAAAAAAATTGGACACAAATCCTTCACAGGTTTATTTTTAAACACCCTTGAAATTCATAGGAAGAATCTTCAAATGTTAGTGAATTTACAAAATGATACCCAGAAATTAAAATTTGCCTAGGTGTGTCGATCATTTGACTTAACGTATGTTAAAATTTTATACGTATACGTATGACATATTGGGCGTCAGACAAACTTCTGCCTATGAGGTAAATCATCCGATTTTGATTGCCAGATCTGCCGGATCACGACATAATATTTTTTTATTTACGAGAAATAATCGTAATCAGATTGGCTAATAAATTCAATTTTTAATTTTACATTATTTATACAGTTTAATGTAAATTTTTTTAAAAAAAAACGAAAACTAATCATAATGAAATTAAAAAAAAGAAGCTGTATAGAAGGTTTCATTAGATCAAATTCTCGTCGTTTAAAAAAGGTAGTATGGTAATAACTTCTCAAAACCCGATAAAACCAATTTATTACAAAGCTAATTTTTTGACAAGAATTAGATCTTATTTTGACTATGGAGTCCTACAGCTCAAATGAAACCTTCTATATAGTTTTTCCGATTTTTTTTTTCTAAACTGTATAAATAATGTAAAATTAAATTGAATTTATTAGCCAATCAGACGAACTTCTGCCTATGGAATTTTATCACCAACCGATTCATCTTGATGAGATAAATAGAATTATAATAAAATCATCCGATTCTGGTTGCTGGATCACGAGATATACAAACTTTTACCTTAGCTTATGTTAAAGTAGTGTAAAATCAAGTAACACTGATATAGAATTAAAAATTAATTGCAAAAAAATCTTGACAAATTTTTTATTATGCTATGTAAAAATTCGTGCGACAATCGCAAGTCAACAATTAAACAATAAAAAATTGCATAAATGCATTAAAAATTCTAGACATATCGATAAAATTTATCTTTATACGCTATATTTATACTGAAAACAAGGATGGCCATCAAAATTGGTATAAATGGGTAAGGAAATTGTAGCGAAATGTAGAAATAATCTTATAAAATGAGCATTCGCACGATTTTCTTAGTTTTGGAAGAACAGGACGACTTGTTCTTCGCGCTTGTTTAAATAATAAGAATGTTCAAGTCGTTGCTTTAAACGATCCATTCATTGGTCTTGAGCATATGGTGAGTGTTTCTGTTCGATCTAAACTAATTTTTTTTAACATTCAAATTAGTTAGGGAATAAAAAATACCTTTATATCATACTCAGTGACATAATTGTATTAAAAATTTAGTAGATGTGATTAGAGTTGCTGGTAAATTAAATTAAGCTAATGGAACTGGTAACTATCTAAAATTGATTGGCTGTTCTTGTAGAACAACCAATCAGATACCAGCAACTCTAGATATGATCAAAAATGAACATCTAACACTTTAGATTTGTTGTCTTAAAAAAACATTCGGAAAATTATGAAATTCTGTATGATGAAACTTTTTGTACAAATCTAACAAACGAAATTTTATATTTCCGTATAAATAGCTTTACTTATTCAAGTATGATTCTACTCATGGACGTTTCAAAGGTCAAATTGAAACAAAAGATGGAAAATTACTTATAAACAATTATGAAATCTCTGTTTTTTCTGAGAAGAACCCTAGTAACATCAAGTGGGGAGAAGTTGGTGCTGATTATATAGTTGAATCATCCGGTATTTTTAAAACTATTGAAAAAGCATCACTTCACTTGCAAGGTATTAAATCAATGCATTTGTTTTGTGATCAATTATTGTTTGAAAATCAAATATAAATTTTTTTTAAATTTAATAGGGGTTTGTTTGAACTTTAAATCCCTTAACTTGGATAAACGATTCATATTCTTTTTATATTAAATTTATTGTTTTTTTTACTTGTTTTTCTTGATAAACTACATTGTAAACAAACATAACAAACATAATAGGGTGCCAAAAAGGTAAGTTGTTGCATGGGAAAATTATTACAAACATGATTCTGCTGGTAAACTAACGATAAATGTAAAATCAGGTCATCATCAGCGCACCAAGTGACGATGCACCGATGTTTGTTTGTGGTGTAAATTTAGAATCCTATAAATCTGAATATAAAGTGATCTCAAACGCTTCTTGCACTACAAATTGCTTAGCACCCATTGTTAAGATTCTTAATAATAATTTTGGTATCATTGAAGGATTAATGACAACAGTTCACGCGCTCACAGCAACCCAAAAGACTGTCGATGGTCCTTCTAGCAAGGTATGTGTAATGTGTTTAATGTTTTCGTAATTAATTATGATTTAATTAATACTTAAATTTGTATGCAGGATTGGAGAAGAGGCAGAGGATCTTGTATGTTATAATAATACTATTAATCTTGTAATTATTTCACAATTAAATTCTAATACTTTTGAAGCTCAAAATATTATCCCTAGTTCTACGGGGGCTGCTCAAGCAGTTGGTAAAGTCAGTATATATGCAGATTTCATCATTATTTAGTTCCATATGTTGTCATTTACATTTATTTTCTTACATATCTGTTCTTTCATAACTTTTCCTGCATAATTGTTTAGGTAATCCCATCATTAAGTAATAAACTAACAGGTTTGGCTTTTCGTGTTCCTGTTTCGGATGTTGGCGTGGTCGATTTGACAGTTCGTTTGAAAAAAGAAACCACCTATGAGGAAATTAAAAGTATTATGAAGCATTCTTCTGAAAATGAACTTAAAGGAATTCTTGGATATACTGAGGACGAGGTAAGTTTCATATTTGTCACAAAGATTATAACTTTTAATTTATTTATTTATATCTTACAACTAGGTTGTTTCATCGGATTTCATTGGCGATACTCATTCCAGTGTTTTTGATGCTAAAGCTGGTTCATGTTATTGCAAAATAAATAAATAATCGTACAATAGTTTATAGTTTATAATGATTATTTTCAATTATTATTACAGGAATTCAATTGAGTCCTACATTTGTCAAAATTATTGCATGGTCTGATAATGAATGTAAGTTATTTTTATTTTTTATTATTACTTTTCTTATAACAAAAATTAATTTCTTTTATAAATTAAATTTTAGTTGCTTACTCAACAAGAATTATTGACTTGATCGAATATATTGTAAAAGTAGATTCATCAGCTTAAAATACCAAAATCACTTGTGTTATTATTAACTTATGTCTTATGCAATTTAGTCAGAGTTATCTAATTTACTAGGTTTATTTATTTATTTATCCATAAGTCTAATTGTAAAATCTTTTGAAAATTGGGCATAGTTTTTAAATTAAGACATTTAATATCTTTATGTTTTATTATATTGGTAAATTTTAATAAATATGATACTTTTAATAATTCATAAATCGAGTAATGACAAATTTCATGAATGAAAATAATTTAAATAAACAAGCTTACATAACGAATAACCCAAACTATTAAGTAACGGGTCACAGATCAGCTTTATAAATAAAAATAAAAAAGAGAATTAAAAATGCCTACTGTTAGATTACATGGTATTTAATTGAAACTTTTTTTTTTACATACATTTCTTTAGAATTATTTTTAAAGCATAAACCGTATTATATAATAATTTTCTTAAATTGAGCAATACATTAAGTTACTATTAATGTTCTCAATGTCTTCTAAGTATAAAAATTATGATCTTTTATCAATCAGTGATTCTTTTTGGATGTAGATGGTTGACATCCGTTATAAATATTAATTGCATCAGCCGCACCATCCCAAGACTGTCGCCCAAATAAACGATACTAAAAGTCCAAAAAAATAATTACTTAAACACCTAAGCGTAAAAAACATATTTTCAGCCTAATGAGGTGAATAAATAAACTTGCCTGAATAGCAGTAGGAACACCAAATAAAATTTTCCAATACATATTAATTCCATATTTCCATATAGTTTGTAATGAATACGGATAACAACCTAGAACTTTTGCTTAAAGAGAAAAGGATAAATTGGTTTTAATATTGTAGTGATCAATTACTGCATAAGAAGGTAAGTATAGTACCTAAATTATCCAATTCTTGGAAGTAATCTCCTTGAATCGTATGCCTTGCTGAGGTATAATAACGTTTTTGTAATGATGCTTGATGTTCTTGAATTTCTTTGTACATTTCGGAAATAGGTGGATTTGATGATATGTGACCAGTGATTTGACTTGTGATATAACGTGCTTGCATTTCGCTCAAGGGAAAGATCGCACCTATCAATTGAACCAATCCAAGGAAAGCAATGTTCGGATATTTCGGTGGAAACATTCTCTTATATAACCAAACCAAATTCTCTCTATATTCTTCATCAAACATTTTTAAAACTTCATCACCACCATTAACAATTTTACTATCCAAAAATGGAAATTCAATTTTATATCCGGTTGCATAAATTATTGCATCAATATTTTCAAGTTTAGTATTGTCAAGGAATTCAATGGAATTATCCTTGTTCAACCGGGAGATGTTTGGTTTTACGATAATTGTCCCATTTGAAAGACAATCGTAAAAATTTGTTTTAAGAGTTGGATGAGAATCGGATGGATTAGTTTTTGGATCTAGATCTGGTATCGGAGAAGGACCAATTGTGGTTTTTACTGTACGTTTGAAAAAATAGTCTTTAATAAATGAAGGTATCCATGTGGTGTAAAAACGGGTATTATAGTGATCAATAGGTTTTCCGCGTAAAAGTCTTGGTAAAATCCATGGTAGCGTTCCTTTATTATAGAAAGAACAAAAATATTAAATATAATCTAAATAATCAATGATATAAACATGAAATTCCGTGTACCTCGGCGAGTGCAAACGTAAACTTGCGATGCGACTCCAGACAATTCCACAGAAATGTCCATTCCACTAAAAATAATATTATAAATTTACTGAATTTACTCATAAATTGCATAATGTCATTCATACCTGTTTCCACATCCTACAACAACAACACGTTTATTCGCAAAATCAGAAGGCACACGATAAAAATGAGAATGAATTTGTTTCCCTTGAAATTGATCCATTCCCTGATAATTTGGCAATCGTGGGTATCTATGATGACCAGTGCAAACCATTACGTAATCAAACACCTGCTCGGTTTCCTCTTTGCCTTTAGTGACATATCGGACATTCCAACGTTTATCAGGAAGCATTGTTAGATTCAAGACGGTTGTGTTAAATTTTATATGAGGAATAAGTTGAAACTTTTCCGTGTACATATCAAAGTACCTGCAATATTAAATGATCAATATTTTCATAATGAGATGCTCAACATAGAAATGATAATGAAATTATAAAATACTTGGAAACAAGTTTGTTATGTAAATAATAAGGCCAATCTTTAGGTATTGGAAAATCGGAGAATGACATCTATGTTCAAAAACAAAGATGATCAATCAAGAACTTTTTGCAAAATAATTGGAAGAAATAATTGTTGGAAACTTATGCCGAAATAAGAGTAAGGATTGAACCATGTCCGGGTTACCCGGTTGCCCGTAGGCCATGTACCTGGATAAAGATTCTGCTACCCGGATAAAAAAAATATTTTCAATATACCGTGCTATTATGTACTTATATCACATGAAATTGGCTCAACCAATCAAATTGGATAATTGATTTATTATACTTACCCGGGTACTTTCCCAGGTATGCTAACAATTAACAGACAAGTAACCCTAATTGAAATCACTTTGAATCTATAATACTCTTAGATTAACAGCTCTGGCACTAAATCTTAACCTATCATCCTTACAAATTTTTAGCATAAGTTGCCAAAATAGTTCACCTACAATTTCTTTACTGGTATTAATGACTACGCTATTATAGCATGAAGAGTGTGGGTCATTATTTTCTTCGCTAATTTCCGTATAACGCCAAAGTCCAGCAGTATATGAGGTTGCTTCAAAACACACCGGGTCTAGATTATCGGCAATACATTGCTTGATGGATGCGAGCCCCGTTGGACCTTATTATGTATAGAATGTAAAAGATATATAGGATGATAATCATGAAGCGAAAAAAGGTTATTACCTGCACCAATAATTGCAATTTTAGGTTTAGACATCTTTTGCAAAGATTTTATTTGAGTTTTTATTTGATAGATTTCTTTTCTTATTCTCAGGAGAATGAGGCGATGCAATCAAGCTTATAAAGAGAAGATCAGGTTGAAAAGAACATCTACTCGATCACTTACTAAATTAATACTAGCGCTAGGAAATGCATAGTAATGCGAGTCTGACCAATTACTATTTATTTTTTGTTACACGGACTTATTTTATCGCTACGTATAACAATAACGATAACAAATGTTATTATATAAACAGAATATTATAAATATGTGTAACCCATGAATTAAAAATTCGGCAATCTTTGAATTAAATTAAAAAAAAATTAAAAATTTGATTGTGTAACGTTATCTGAGGAGTGACGAAGGTTTTCTGTGACCGTTGTCACTCCTCAGATAACGTTGCACAATCAAAATTTTAATTACTGAATTAAGGATCTATAATCTTCCTTGCCTAATTTGTTTATGCAGTGTAATCTTTTTTACTACAGTGAAACCTCTCTAAGTGCACGCCCTTGGGACCGGCTATAATGTGAACTTATGGAAGGTGTGCATTTATAGAATTAATAATATCTCGAGTATTTTCTAAAACCATACTTGTCTTTATCATAGAAGGACGTTTGTCTGATTGGCTGATGTAAATTAATTGTCCGGGTAACTTTAAAGTACATTTTAGGAATATAATGTTTCACTAACAAAAAATCACTTCAAATACTCTCTATACGTGTGGAGGACTTCACTTAGAAGTGAATATTTTACTATTAGTCACTATAAAATTTACATATAAGTATTAAATGCAGAAAGAGACGATCAAAAAGTATTAAAAAGACAATCAATATGTAAATTTTACGTAGTAAAGAACTTTTTATTGCCGTTTAATTTATTATGTTGAGAATAAATCTTAATACTTTTATATCATGCATATTAGATTTTATAAGAATTAGTTTATTAGATCTGGCAGCATAGTGGCTTTTTTATGTGGATCTAAGAGTTTAGTATGTTCGATATTTGGTTGTGTTCGTTGTTAAATTGGTACTCTAGGTTACAACAGTTAGATTAGTGTAGTGTAATGTATTTATGTTTGTTAACCGTAAATTGAAGGTTTTGGTTTATATTATATAGAATCTTTAATAAATTAGGAATAAAATATTATATCCTTTATATAATGTTTTTTTGTCATTTCTAATAATATTAAAATAATAAATTAGATTAAAAATCATGAAATTTGAATGATTAATTATCATGAATAATTACAGTTATATTTACAAAAATTAACCTATTATATAAATGTTTTTCTATAATTGTCTGTGTTAATTTATCATCTATCTTTTCAAAAACAGACTGGAATGTTTCAAATATAAACATCAATTTACAGATTAAATAATTCATTTCTAATTATATTTTTTGATTACAATTTTTTTAACTTTTTGTATTTATTACAATTAGTAGTTATATATAAAACATAAAGAACCTATTATTATACTTGGAATTCATTCCTTAATAAAATTCAAGAAATTTAATAAAATTTAAAATATAAAATGTCAATAGTATAAAGACTATGAACTTAGTAATTTATGAAAAAATATTAGCATTAATATAATATAATATATTAAAAAAATTTAAATAAAATTTGATCAAAAAAGACAAAACTAATTATATAAGAACCAGTTCAATAAGTAATGTTTTATGTCACTCATCTTGTTTAAAATTTTTTAATATTTATAAAGTTTTTTTTAATATTAATAGTAAGGATATATTTTTATCTTTATTGAATATTTACTTAAAATTTTTATATAAGTACAAATTTACTTTTAAAAATATTATAAAAAAAGTAAAAGCTTAGACTAATTTACCTGTAACCTAAACCAATAGAAGCAACCAAAGCTTATTTAGATTTGGGTACTAGTAATTATATATAAAAGATTAGTTTGGTATTTGATTTATTGTATATACTAGAAATTGATTTTAGAATAAATAGAATTAGAATGAAAAAGGTAGAAATAAGTGTAAAGTAAAATTGAAAAATAAATTAAAAGTAGAAGAATGAGTTGTTGATCTTAAAATATAATAAAAATTCAAATTTTATGATATGTTTATTGATTAAGATAAAGTAAAAATTTAATAACAAGTGTTATAGTTATTTTTTTAGATAATAAGTTTAAAATAGTAGAGATAATTTTATTTGGTACTAAGCCTAATAAGATTAAAAAACTGAGAACAGATCTACTATATTGTGTATAATTATACAATACAGTTGTCTAATTTGATAGTAAGTTTAGTTATAATTTCAAAAGTAATATCAAGTATATTTATATTTAGAATGTTTATAATAAATTGTCATTAAGATTGTATAGCAACTAATTAGATAGATTAGTTATTCAAAAAAATGAGAATTATATTGATAACATTAATAAAAAGTTGATGAATAAGAGTGATAATATTTGTGTAAAATGTATGAAGTAGAAAGGTTATTTAATAAAATTTTAATTTTAAAGAACTTGAAAACAGAAAATTAAAAATTATATAAAAAGTTTGAGATTTTTTAATTATTGTTAAAGTATAGTTAAGTTGTTTGTTAATTGATTTGGTTAAAAATTTTATTTTATTTTTGAAACTAATTTTTTATAATTTATAAAGTATAAATATATGCATAACTAATTGTATAAATACTACAACAAATAGATAATTCTAAAAAAAAAGTTTCAAAAATTATAGAATGAATTGTAAATATTGTAAAGCATAAAAATTAGGTATAACAAGTTATAATAATTTTGTACTAGTTGATTAGCAAAATTATTGTATATGTTGTTTTGATAAACAGTAACTTTATAAAAAATAATTTGAATTTTATAAGAATTAACAAAATTAATTAGTAAGTTTCATAATGAAAAATATAATGTATATATATACAATAAGGTTGTAGAAGAGTTTAAAATATTTAGTATTTAGAAATTAAAGATTAAAAATATATGTATATGTTTATAATATTATTTTTAAGATCATAATAAGTTTAGCTTTAAATGAATAAGGTCCAAGTTTGTTTGAGTATATAATATATATAATATAAAGTTATTAAAAATTTGAACTTATTCAGAATCTATAAAATATTGTAAAGTATCTAAATTAATAACAGAGCCATATATATAAAAGTGAAGTTCTAATAAGTTAGCATTGTAATTAGCTATTTTTGAAGGTTATTTGTAAATAAACTGGGTTTAAAATTACAAAAGTTAGTTAAGTAGCAATAATAATATTTAGAAAATTTGGAATTTGAATAAGATATCAAGTTGCAATAAAATATATAAAATCAAAATAATTAGCATTATGGTTAAGAATTTGTTGTATATATTAACTTGACCCAAAAATTAAGTTAAGAGGTAAATAAAAATAACAATTATATATTTGTTATTAATTGTTTGATAATTAAGAAAGCAGTTAAGGTATATATTACAGATTATATAAAGCTATACTAAAGAACTATAAGAATACCAATATTAAATAAAAAGAAACTAATATTAAAATAATTTTAATTTAATATTAAAACCCAATTAGTTACTAATATTAAACAAAAATTTGGCAAAATATAATACCTTTTAGAATTATAACAAAAACATATAGGATAACTATTGGAAACAAATCAGATAAATAAAAATATTATTGTATTACTGTTATTTTTATCACAAAACTGATATTAATTTTATAGAAATAATATTAGTATTATTTAGAACACTTATTAGAAATATATTAAAATTTTAATATACTTATCAACATAACTAATAGGTTTTAATATTAATTATAGCTATATTGTATTAGATGTTACTGAAATTTTTTTAGTCAAAGCAATATATTTATTAAACATTTTATTTTATTTTTTTTTAAACATTAATAATAAGGCTATATATTTAAATTTATTGAAATTCGATTAAAGTTTTTACAAAGAAAAGCTTGCTTTTAAATTATATATGAAGAATAAAGACTTCGACATATAATCTGTAACTTAAACCTACAAAAGTGGCTAAGGCTTATCTAAATTTGAATATTAGTAATAATATAAAAGAGAGAAATATAATATTTAATTTATTTAATAGTTCAAATAATTAATTTTAGTAATAATTTATAGTATTGAAATAAGAGGTAAGGGTAAACTAGAAGAAAAACTATGAGTTAAGTTAGTAGAAGATATGATTTAAAAGTGTACAAAATGTAAAATATAGTATGAAATTCATATTTGTTTGTATATTTGTTGGTTTAAGTAATAAAAAAAGTTCAATAGAAAAAGAAGAAGAGTATAATAAAAAACAGAAGTATTATAGATAATAGAAATGAGATTAGCAGAAACTAAACCAGATAAAGTAGAAGTAAAAGATAGTATATATAAAAAATTGTGTAGTTTGAAGCTGTTGAGTGTAAGAATTTCTTTATACAAGTTAAAAATAAGATTAGTAGATATGTTAAGAGCAGTTGTATTTAGAATATAATTAAAAGTATTAGAAACTAGATAATAGATAGTTTGGCTAAAAAAGCAGATGACTCAGTATAGTAAAGAACTAGTTTGATTGCATTGATGACAAAAAGAAAAATATAAAGAGTTATGTTTGTGAAGAGTATAAAGAACAGGTAGTTCATCTAAAAGAATTATATCATAAAAGATTTTAAAAGTAAAGGAATAAAAGTTGTAAGTAAAGTTAGAAATTTTTGTTATTATTAATATAAAGCCAAGTTGCTTTCTAGTTAATATTAAATAATATAGTAGACTATTATTAAAAATAATGTTAAGATGTTCAAAGTGTTATAATATAAGCTTAATATAGTGTGAATAGAGCATTAAATAGAAGTTTTAATAGGAAGTTAATTAATAAATAGAGTATAAGCAAGATTATAAGGTTTATTAGTTAAGAATATTAAAAAAAAAAGTATTTAATAGTTGTAAGCAAGTTGATCAGTAAAATTATTAAATGGGTCATCTTAATATGCAGTAATTTTGTGAAAAATAAGCTAAA